TTTTTGGACAGTAGTTAACATTTTTATCACTGTTAGTGTGGTTGTTTTGGAGAAGTGACCCATGGAGTGAATAGACCACATCTAGTTCTACTTGAAAATCAGTTGAAATAGACTAGAAAGAACTTGACAGCTAATCCATTCAAGAAATACTCGAACTCTAACCTAAGATATCCTACGTAAATTAACAAGTTTATCTTCGGACTAGAAGCTTAGAATTATTTATTTTTTCAACTACGATTTTCAAACAAAAATTGCATAACTTCTGTCGCGCTCTTTTATTTATTATTACATAAAGCAAAACATAAAATTTCCTTTTCATAGATAGAAGATGCAGTGATAGCACTCTTGATAAACTTGACAAGACGCATGAACTCAAAATTTTGCAACTATATACTTCTTTAATGGGCTTGGAAAACAATCATCTCGATAAATTCGTATATGTTTGCTGTATTGTGATATAAAGTATTTATTAAGCATATTGAAGCATATAAAAATAATGATTAAATGTAAAAAAAAAGACTTTTGAAAGGCAAGAAACATGATATTTATTGCGGATAAATAAAAAGAGAAAAAGCTGAGTGAAGCAATTAAGAGCTAGGATTACTAGCTACTAATAAAACCTTCACCATCGGTTAGTAATCTTAAATAAGTTCCCTGTTTCGGACTAAAACTACATTTTGTAAATATGTAACGTTATATGAAAGCACTCTAAACTTAATTAGAATTTGTGTTAGATAAGATTTTCAAATGCTAAAAACCTTTTCAAAAGTACAAACAACACAAATGTTTTTCAAGATTAGATAGCTTTCATATAACACCAAAAGTTTATGAAAATAATAAATTCTGTAAGAGTGTATGAAGAAATCATACGAGAATACATAATGTTCGAAGTCACTTGACCAACGTCGCGTACATTTTTTAACATCATCCTGCCGCCACAAAAAGTATTCACGTTCGTTGTCGAACCAATGATGAATCTTTAACACAACACCAAATCATTGATCGCATATTGGATGAACAACTACAACAACATTTTTATTCAAATTTCATACTTACTTTGAAGCAAACCATCGCACGCATTATATGATTGAAAATCATCGAGGAATTGAATACTCTTAACAAATATCCTATTCATTTGATAGTCAATACTTAGAATTAAAACTAAAGTTTGTGATCAAATTGCTAATCACATGGTACACGAACACTACCAACAATCTATCTTCTCATATATATCATTAACCGCGAGACAAAATTTCTATTGTTATTATGACGAAACAAATCATCACAAAAATGAATAAATCTAAATATAACTCTATTCAAATATATCAATCATTTGCAAGCAGGGGCTGGATTTTACTTAACTAGAACAGCTCATATACTAGTCGAACATTTCTGAGAAAATATGTATTCAAAGGAATTTCTCAGAACAAAGCCTAGTGCATCATTTACCCGTCGAATAATGAATGCGTCATAAGTGACTAGTTGTAGAGCTTTCTTCAACTATGTAACTCATCCAGAATGTAATATAAAAGTCTCTCAAGTAGTGCTAAATCACAAAATTGATGAATCTTCCTAACCACAGCTTTGTTCAAGTATACCGAACAACTCGAAGAAAAGTACGCATCTGAATCATGGCATCGAATATCACTTTACTACTAAATCATTTAAACTGGCAGCTTTTTGTACATATATATGATTCTCATTACATCAAAAACATAACAGCACAGTTCACGATGAAGATCTGCACAAAAAATATATAGCAAGAACAATAAGTCTATTCGTTTTCATGCATGTCTAAGCCAAAATTTAACTACAAACATCGTGTTAGAGGATCATACCACAACTGAATCATTTCAAGCAAAGTCGTATTCAATTATTTAACTCTCTAGCAATCGATGACGGTATAATATAAGATTGAACAACGCTTGATTATATGAATTATCCTAAGACAAGTCGTATTCAATTATTTTACTCGGAAGAAACCAATGTCAGTAGAATAGAAGATTTAGCAGCGTATATTATGTGAATTATCAAATGAAGCTCAAGTTCATTTATTTTATTCTGAAGCGATCGGTAACATCATAACATGCAATTAATCAACACATGACATATGAATTATCCTCAGTAAGGTTGTGTTCAATTATTTTTCATTCTGAAGTGATCGATAATATCAGAACATGTACTAAAACAGCGCATAGTAGATAAATTTTTCTAAGTAAGATCAAATCCACTTATCTGACTCGCCAGCAACCAATGTCAGTAGAACAGAAGATTGAACTGCGCATGGTAGGTGAATTATTATAACTAAGCTCGAGTTCATTTATGTTATTATCAAGCAGTCAGTGACAGTGGAACATATTATTGAAGATTGCATGCGTGATGAATTATTTGAAGTAAGATTCTATTCAGATAAATTTCGTAATGAAACCAAGAGTTAGCTTGGTCTACATGAGTGATGATGTGTGAAATATGAATTAGCAAGACAGTGATCAGATTCAAATAGTTCGTTGTGCTATTCTCAAAAACCAACACTTTGCGACATACTGAGAAACACATAGAAATGAAATAGCTACACTTCCACCAGCTGCAGTGTGTTGATCGAATACATTATTCAGTTTAAAATGAACTGTGATTTAAATCGCATGATTGACAATCAAGTGAATAGTGAATCGTTTGAAACATGAATTTATTCAATTATTCTTCTACCTTGCTGGAAAAAATCTCATTGCTCTTAATGTCCAAGCACTACATCTCAAGTATACAGCTTCAAATAGGAAATTATTCAAGCACTTTACTTATTTTAGAACAGAACATCGGTGCATGCCACCTTTTAGGATACGCATGGGATATGAATCATTTTTACTATGAGTCTGTTCAACTGTCTTATTCATTTCAGATTGGATACTGGAATTAAGTAAGATGATGGAAGACGACAAGGTAAGCGATTAGCATCAACAATTGTTCTCTTCAAGTAGATCATTCACTCTAAAGCAAAGGACAATAGTTCATCTTAACAAAAGAGCTCACCCGACAAACGAATCATTCTAAGTAAGTTCATGTTCAAAGAGCTCATTTACTTGGGTGAAGTAAGTTATTCCATCATATCACTGAAGATCACTTGACAAATGAATCGTTTTAAAGACGATTCCATCCAAGTATACTGCTCACTTCGAAGCAAAATGTGTCACTTGATCATATCACTAAAGGTGTATTGACAAATGAATCGTTACAACCAGGGTTCCATTCAAATATACTACTCACTTCGAATCGAAGTGTACCATTCAGTTATATCAGTATAGATCTATTGACAAATGAACTGTTATAAGAAGAGTTTCATTCAAGTATACCACTCATTTCGAAGTAAAGCGTGTCACTCGATCATATCAGCAAAGGTGAGTTGACAAATGAACCACTACAACCAGGATTCTATTCAAGTATATCGTTCAGTTCAAAGTGAACTCTATTATTCAATCACATCTAAAAAAATCTATTGAAAAATGAATTCTTATGAGCAAAGTTACATTCAGGTATAACGCTAGAAAAAAAAACAAAATTCACATTCAGCTTAGTTTATCGACATACCTAAATGATGATTGTGTGGAACAAAGATTTTGTTCATATATGTCACTCTTAACTAAGCTAACGAACACTATATGCACTCATAGAAGATACATGATGAATGCATCAGTCTGAAAATAATTCTGTTCAAATAAATTGCTCACTTCGTAATAAAGTGTGTCACTTATTCACGTAAGCAAAGATCTATTGACAAATGAATCGTTCTAATTAAGGTTTCATTCAATTATATTACTCATTTAGAAGCAAAATGTGTCATTCGATCACATTACCAAAGATCTTTTGACAAATGAATTGTTATAATTACGGTTTCATTCAAGTACATCAGTCACTTCGAGATGAAGTATGCCACTCGACTAGCATATAAAAAATTATATGTTAATCAATCACTTCTAACAAAGACTTTGTACAAATATCACTTTTATTTTAGAAAAAGTTTGTACCAAACTAGATCATCAAAGTTGAAATAGTAAATGAATGATTCTAAGTAGAATTGTATTCAAGTATATAGCTTACTTCGAGGCAAAGTGTGTCACTTAGCCACATCAGAAAGGTCTTTCAACAAAATGAATCGTTCTGAGCAGATTTTCATTCAATTATATGACTTACTTCGAAACGGAGTGTGTCACTCGATCATATCAGCATTGATCTATTGACAAATGAATTGTTATAACCAGGGCTCCATTCAAGTATATGACTCAATTCAGAAAGAATTAGGTCATTTGATCATGTCATAAAGGTCTTGCAACAAAATGAATCGTTCTAACTAGAATTCCATTCAAGTATAGCACTCATTTATTAGCGAAATATGCCACTCGATCACATCAGAAGAGAAATACTGTTAATTGAATCGAGCTAAACAGTACGATTCTATTCGAATATCGCGCTTGGTTTACATAAATTCATTTGAAAGGAAAACATGTTCGCTGAAAAGGTTACAACTAAATAGTTACTACAATCACTCTATTCATATATTGGCTATAACAGAGCAATAGGGTAAGGCTGTAAGTGCATTGAAGAAAAACGTGGAGCATGAACGACAGAAAGCAACAAACATCAATTCAACTATATGCACGACAGTACAGCAAGAATGACCGCTGCTGTTTCAAATAATGATGACATAGTGCATGCACAGTC